TTTGAACAGTTTATTGAAAATGCTGGGCCTCTTAGAGGCATCAGTCACATATACAATAATATACATATAATATGACATATCATAAAGTGATATCCACGAAATATACTAAAATATAAATAAAAATGAAAGGTTACATTATAAAAATAAGCTTAGTTATCAGTTACTTAAATGCTGATATATTTTTTTTACAGAATACTGCAAGTTTTAACAATATACTCCTATCTGTGCTATTCATTAACATAGAAAACTTGATTGAATATCAACATTAGTACTATACTCTCTTGTAATATATTTTTTTTCTATCATGTGATTAGTACTTGTAAAGATAGGGCTTAAATTAGGAACGAAAATATTTATTTATAATGTACAAACGACTACTTGAAAAAAGAAGAATGATAATTTCTAGACTTCGTATCCAGCGACTACGTGAATATAATAGTTTGTCTAATTGAGAAATATATCTTTTATTTATTAAATGAATAGTGATATTTTACTTCTTTCCTTATTAATTAAAAGTCTTTCAAAATCACCTCAAAAATAAAGAAAAAAAAAGACTTTCCGAGGACAAGTGCAAAAACGAGAGGCCTAAAGTTAGCTTAGATAAAACCATGAAACAAAAATAATTTAATGTTTTTAACCTTTGTCTTTAGCACAAAAAGGTCAAATTCATTCACATATGAGTGTGCAGTACGGGACAATATATGAAAAACAAGATCAACAAGGAAAGGCGGCATTCAACAAACGCATCCCCCACCACAGGATCAGGACATGACACTAAACAAGCCAGGGCACAAAAACGGTCGGTAGTCATTATATTTTTTTTACAAATGGGAAACCATAGAAACCTACAAAGTAACTGAAAATGAAAATTAATCAAAAGACCTACAAAAGGATAACGATGTAGTTTTAGTCGTAAGGCATGCAAAATGCAGAGCTATCTTTATGTATGCGATGCATACTATGTTTGTGATTTGTTTGCTGTTTATCATTATTTAGTATATTTATATTTTCATCCTTCTTGCTTTATATATGCTTGCATTGTGAAATTTCAGACCAGGCAGATTGTGTTGATGCAGAATCATTAGAACATTGATAAGCATCATGCGGACAGAGCAGCTGTTGTCACCTATGCTATTGGAAATGTATGATATTCCAAGAATTTGTGAACAATTTATGCATGAAACAAGTATATATATATTCATTTAATGTTCTTTTTACTATGGTCTGGATGAAGAGTATAGTTGTTTAGTTAATAATATTGAACACGTATTAATATCAAAAACATGTAATTATACATTATGATATGATAACATATAATGATATATAACATGACAAAGCAAACGTACTGTCACTAATGAAATAGTGTATCAAATTACTGTTTGCTTTCTATTTGTGAATTTATTATGTATGTTTATCATATATTTTGTCTGTGCATGCACGTTTACATTTATTCCATTTTTCTATGTGCTGAAGTGATAAAGATTTATGTGATAAAGATGCATTTTGTCTCAGGCGAGGCAAAAATCTCCTTGAAAAATTTCACCTGTGAGGGTAAGTGATATCTTAAAAGTAAAAAAAGAACCAATAAGCAGTACAGTTAAAGCTTAATTCTAAAATTACAGCTGAACTCTGAAACTATGACTGTAGGTAATATTGTTAGCATTGTCCCGTTCAAAATTTACAATTTATAAGCATTTTCCACAATCTGTATCTAAGGTCAAAGCAAATATGAACCATGCAGTGTTATCCCTAGCAATAATTAGATGGCGATCTTATCTTCCGGGTGTCTTAACGGAATTTATAAAACTATGAATGCAGGATTTGCATGTTAATGTTCAAGGAACGATCAATATAAGTACATGTAATAGATTAGTTTAAAAGTTACTAACTAGGAAGAAACAAGAATTTTATTTAACTTCGCATAACGAGTATTATAAGAGTATGCCATTATTGTTTGTTGTATTGCAACATTTATATAAGATGTACCATTACGAGCATGCAGGATGAAGGTGAGTAGGGTTTAACGCAATCAACGATAGTAACACAGCCCACCAGAATAGCACATGCTGTCACGTAAATTTTATAGTGAAATTCGTAATTAAAAATTTGAACAAATAACATGGAATTATTTTTCCTAGTTAAAAGGCGTATGCATATAACGGAAATACACATCCGTGACGTATTGACTCAGTAGATATGTAACATGTGTAAATCGCTTCGGATATAGGTACATATTTCAAATTCATTGTATATTTATTAAGTTGAAAATTGTCGACAATATATATCTCCACCAGCAAAGTTAAATAGAAGTTCCTTAAAACAAAGAGCTCCAGCTACATGTATAAGCTATTTACAGCATCGGGTAAAATAGAGATTATCAAATATTTCATTTTCAAGACATATCACGCTGCTGGTTCATAACAAGACATTACACTCGTACTTGCATGTCAATTGTGCCGATGTTTCATTACCAAATATCTGATTTTGCATATGTATTTAAATTCAGAATCTTACCATTTCCATGTTTAAAAATTGAATTCTGCTTAAGCCGGTGCTAGCTAGGGCCGTGGACAGTATTTTGATTTTTCCAGTACGTACCGTGCATGAACAGGCTCAATTTATGGACTCGGCCCGGTGAATTTTCGTACTATTTGTTCTATAGTAAATCAGTCACATTTGAGGCTTAATTCTGGATTCCACTGTTCTTGATGAATTATATACTGTCTTCCACTTTAAACATAAACACTATCTAAGTCCAATGAGGCCCAAAATATAATAGGTTAGCCACCTACATTTTTCAGAAATCTTCATTCTGTTGTTGGCCTCCGCGCCGAAGCGCGGCGCCCTTATGGAATGAAATCAGATTTTGTGAATGGGCGACAGCAACTTCTCGAGCCTTTTATTATGACCACATAATAAAAGCCGAGCATTCCGATCGGTATGAGGGTGCTTGATTTAAAAAAATGTCTCGATATGTACAATGAATAGCGAACTGGAGAATTTCGCAATGCATGAAATAACCTTTTCCGTCTCTTCGTTTTTTTTTATTTATCATTTTGTAGTACACAGTGGGTTATTATGGTATGTTAAAATAGAATGATGAGTTGATGACCTAAACATTCCGAAAATCTATTTATAGAGGGATGTACTGCTATCGGTAATTCCCGGTCTCTCCCGGTCTATTTTGACCGGGATTTACTAGTGACCGGCGAATAGTATCACACGTTTATTGTCCGGTCTCTCACGGTTTTGGAGTAGATGTTTGATATCGTTACAGAACAGAACAAATATTTTACAGATAAATAAGCTTTTTTTCCAAAATGAATGTTTGTCACTTAGTTTGGTTACAATAATTAATAAACACAGATTAACTCATTATTATACATAACATACAATTCGAAAAAAAAACCAACAACAACAACAATAGCATGTTTCATTTTAACTTTATGAGATAAAAACAATAAATATGTGCAATAATTGAGCAAAAGGTACATTTTTATGGTATTAATATGACACTATCAACTTTGAAACATTTTATTTAATTTGTTATTCGTGTTTAGTAAAGATGCCGAGGAATTATTCAAAGTTACAAATTAGATTTTATGAATTATTCAATTGATTGATAATTTAAAAAATGATAAAGAAAAATACAAATGTACATGTACATTGTTTAAGAATAAACAATATTATATATTGAAAGATTAAGAATAATTTACTGACTTTTTCCAGTTAAGTTTTGATTTATAATCGTCGGTCAATATGACAATTGAATTCTTAAAATTTATTTTACAATTTTGATAAAAAAAAGAGTAGTAAACGTAAAAACTCAGTATTAAAATAGCACATAAAACACAAAAAAAAGAGAGGAAAGCAATATTCATAAAATCTGTATTTTTTATATTAAAATAGATATTACAATTATTGTATAATAAACAATTATGCTCAACATGATCAACATGGTAATATAACCAGTGTCATATTTTTACTAAGTGTGAACAGATACCTTAATAGGGGGTCTTCGCTAATAGCGATAACATAATAAGAGACAATTCCACAAGGTGTTGATCATGCGTTACACATATGGATTATAAATGATGGTATACATGTATATCCGTTGCTATTAACAATCACGATCATAAAGAAATAACAAGTAATATTCTAATCTCTAGCATGCCAATCAAAGTTCATAATGAACAATGTCTTTCGTCCGTTCATTCTGGTAAAAACAAATTAACCATTGAAAAGTTTATAAGAATATCTTGTCATCATATGTCTACTAGTTCATCTTCACTTTCTGCATTTCTTGCTTGGACGCCCTTTGATGCTTTGCATCAATGCTTTTCTTGTAACACTGTTTAAATTCACCACTTTAAAAACTCCTGACAGCTGGTGGGTAGTACATCTTTAATCCTTCCGCCAACAAATGAGTTCCTGGAGAATACACAAAAAAACAAACTTTTAAAGTCATCATATAACACACAAAAACTACACACATGCAATAAATACACTTTAATTATGACCAATCTAACTAGAGATGACTTAAATTGGGCCACTTCAAACTTTTAAAGACTACAACGTGTTCGGTCTAATTCCGTACCGGGTTGAGACCTTATAACGTAACCGAGCCTGGGACATTCTTATAAATATATTTTTGTCGTTTTGGACGCTCCGGAGGGATTCTGATTTTTCTTTCTTTTTTTTATTTTAATGTTATTACTGAACAGTAGATTTGTCAGGACGTTTATTTTGAACACTTGTTTTATAACACACGTCCACAATGAAAATTATTGGTGTGCAAACTGTTCTACAGGTACATATTGGAAGTGAAACGTCTGTAATCTAACTAAAAGAAAATTTTTAATATTTTTATTAATACGTGCAAATATTTGCACAGATCTGTATGAAAAGTCTCTGATATGCCCATTTGTATTTTTACTATCCGCCCACTCTCTTTCTACGGAAATACCCGATGATTACCGATTGCAGAAAAATAGTATGGGGCATAAACGTAAACAAGAACAACAACAACAACAACAACGACGAAGACGACAACAACAACAATATAGTTTGAAAGAAAGAAAAATTAGTTTATGTTAGTTGTTTATTCTATTTTTTTATAGATAAATTATATGTTTGACTGATTTTTATCAGTAGATATGTGTAATAACTTACAATTAACAATCCCACAAACGGATTCGCTGAGGGCGTAACAGAATAATATGCTAAAATAAACCACAGGGGTACGGCTCATTGAATGTTCACAAAATATGTGTTTAAAAGTAGAAAACATTTATCCTAAGTCAGAAATGAATTATAAGTCCATTCCCATTACACTATGTACTTATATCTAGACAAGGGTAACAACTCCCATAAGAAGGTGTCTATGCCCAATTGATCTGAGTTTTTGCCTCGCAGATATTTTAAACAATACAGCATAAATAGAAAGGAATTATAATGCAATAAGTAGTCTAATAATTTATCTATCTAACCAAGGTAAAACTTTTCTTATATCGCTTTTATTTTATGAGTACTAGCCGCCGAAGTAACAAAAAACTATTCATTTACGCGAGGTTGACATGAATCATGGCTACGCAGAAAACACAAATTTACACTACTGTTGCAATCATTCGAAATAATGTCGCAAGCTTTGATCATGCTGAGCAATAAAAACTACATAAAAATACTCAAAACACACTAATATGAAATTAGGCAAAGCCTATGAACTGGGAAGTCGGTAAAAATCCTTTCATTTTTCCGTTTTAAAGGTATCATTCGGTATTATATGTACCCACTTCGGTTTTCACTCGGAACATTCGATGATTATTATTAATCCGAAAAGTTGAGATTTGTTCCGTTATCGGAATACACCGCCTTTAATCATTGAGTTACATTGTAAATGGTGGCACCTAACTAGAACTGACACTATAAAATTTCATTGATAGGTATAGAATTCTATATATTTTTTAATTGTTTTTTATTTGAATTTTCTTTAATTATACACGTGTAGTCTATAGCCGGGCAAGCCAAAGCCCGGACCCGCTTCGCGGGCCCGGTCTTTGACTTCCCCTTATTAACCTATAATTGTAATGTGATATAAAGTCACCTGCGGCTTTAGAGTATTTCCTTGTTGAAATTTCTGTATAATTAACATAAAAAAAATTTCGCGAATATTAACGACCGTCATCTGATTGGTCGTTTTTTTTGTTTTTTGTTTTAAATTCCGGGTATTTTTTCGGGAAATAAATCGACCAATTAGTTGCTTATATTTGCCAAGATGGCGGTGTTTTTATAGAAATTTCAACGAGGAAATACTCTGTGTAAGACAAGTGTCGTGCATGAAATGACATCATTCCTGCACACTTTAAAGATTACGAATGAATTGCATTCTTAGAATGACGTTATGTTGCTGTTATAATTAGAGTTTTACTTTTAAGTAGTCAACTTATGTTTGGTAAAATCAAAATATTTTAAATAAAACAGCATCTAATCTCTACTCTTATGGATGTATTTTTTATTATACCTATTTTTTAGTACATTTTGGTCATGTGGGTCATTGTGACAGGGGTGTTTTCCACAATGACATCATGACTTGAGAAAATAACAATATGCTGACTTCCAAACATACTCTTTCATTTCCATTACATGTTTCTATAATTTTTGTCTTTTATTAATTTCTTTGTTTCTTTCATAGAGAAATGGGGGATATGAAACATTAACCTATAGGCATGCCATGTTAAAATTTAGTTTAAACATATATATTTAAGCTTGATTGCGAAAACAAGTTTTTGAAACTTATATTAATCACTTTCAAGTCAGCTCCAGTACTGGTGTCATATAAAGAAACATGGTCGTGACCCAAGTAGGAATCGAACCCATGATCCCTGTGTTGAGAGGCAGACATTTTAACCACTAGGCTGACTGCTCCCCATTGTCATTTTCTCAGGATCATTACAATTATTATAGGTTAAGATTCTAGATATATTAAATTTATATTTCAGAACATAAGAATGAAGGTGCCGGACCTTGAAGTAATAAAAGAAATTCCTGGATACAAAGTTATTCTAAAGGCAGTTCTGAAGAGTCAAATACAACAACTGGTATGTTTTTATAAAAGGGAAAGGCTTAAGGGCTTTTTTCACAGGTTGGGGAAGTAATTTCTGCCTTAAATTTGGGGTAAAAAATATACAGTATATTTGCAAAAGGGGAAGAAAAATTCAATTTTGGTGGAAAATGGCATGTTTTTAAAGAATTTTTCTTTTCGGAAGCCACCTTTAAACAGCCCCTGCTATAGAAGGGAAAAAACCTCACTTAGAACCAATCTTTGGCAAATATGATGTACTTCAAATTATTGTAGAATGCTTTAACAATAATTAATAATGACAAATGTTCAGGATAAAATTTAAAAAACTGTCTAAAATATAAGAAGACTGCCTCACTCTATTTATAGATTGAATGTTACTGATCATTTCTGTCAAATATTTGTAGATATATCATATGTATGTGTGTAACTGTGGTTATTGGTTATTCTAGTGATATTTATCATACAGTTGAAAACAAATATGACAAAATGTGAAGTTATTTTGAGTTTTACCTAAACACCAATGACCATAATTAGTTTTACTCTTGAATTGGCATGATGTCACTTTATAAAATCCAATGTTTTATTGTCAAGCACTAGGATGCTATTTATGTCTTGGAGCTCTTGTTTCCTGATGGCATAAATTATATTATTCACATTATGACATACCCATGCCACTTTTAAGGCTCTGTAAATATGGTATTGCACAGCAATGCAAATATTTTGACTTGATGTCATTTGCATAATACAAACATAGCTAAAAGATGCTGTAAATGTTTGTGTAACACTGTTGGCTAGTCATTAACGAAAAAAGGTTTATTTTCACTGTAAACCTTTCTTATGTTGGTTAAGTGATAAATAGAATATTATAATATTTATATACATGTTGATTCATTACTTGATTTATTGAACAAGTTGGCTTTATAATATAACTTGTTCAATAAAGTCATTATTAAATTTAAACTCATATAGTAAGTGACAACAATTTTTCTGAATCATGAACAAAAAAGGATTATTTTCACTGTTAACAGATATTATTTGGTAATGTGATAAATGGAATATCATCTTGAATTTGTTTAAATTCATTACTTGATTAATTAAACTCATTGAATAAAATAGTTTATTACATGCTTTTCGGTGGTTTATAGAAATATATCAGTGATATAAAACTGGTAATTTCACTGTTTGAAACAGTGAAATTACCACTTTGATAATTTCACTGTTTTGAATTTAAGCCCCTTATGTTGTTTCAGTGAAATACCAGCGTGCACAGTACTGGGTACCAACTTAATGACGTGACGTCGTAAATGACGTCACGTATTATTAATTGGCGCGCTTTTCATTCAGTATTAGGTTAAAGTCTTTTTAAAACGTTTCTTTGCATATAATAAAAAGAAAATTTGTTTAGTTTAGTGTAAGATCGAAATATATTTCACCTTGTGAACACCAAAAGCTGCGCCACTAGTGAAATATACCTTTTGGTGCTCACTCGGTGAAATATATTCCGATCTTACACTGAACTAAACAAAAATCCTCTATATTTTACTTGAAAGAGGCTCGCATAATATTAAGAGGGTATTTTTTTTTGTTTGAGTGAAATATGGAATATATATTTTTTATTAAACATGATAAACTGCCACATATTTTCATGAGCCAGAGCATTTATTAATTCAATATCCTATATCTAATGTATGTTTTATTGTATATTTATAAGGTTGAACAGATTTCTAGTGAGACTGAGGAAGAGACCGTAGTTCTTAGTGCTAACCTATCAGATGGATCTATCAGTTACCACGGCTCTGAGTTGGGCAGGTTATTTCTGGACAGTCATGACGAATTTAAGTCACAATATTTAGGATTTTGCTTGAAAAGTAAGTACTTGTGAGAATCTTTAAGCATGATTTACATGCTTTTTTGCAGCAGACACAAATTTTGTGGAAACGTTACAATGTGGACAGCAGCCAAATTATAAGATAATTTACTATTTACATATAAAATTTCTCATTAAAATACATGCAAATCATGAAGAATGAATAGGCTTCAATGAATAGATAAATCCTTTTTATGTTAGTGACAAATAGGGTAATATATATATAAGTGCCAGACTACTTTTCATGTTGGTTTCCATCTGATAATAGTATTACGTAGCATTTAGCATTTGCAACGAGGAACCAAAACTACTAAAGGCTTCTCTTTTGCTTAAAAGAATACATATTCATCTGTAATTAGTGAATATTATAACTTAACTGCTATGTTTTAGCTTCTGAAATAACTAATAAAAGTAAATTATATTGCAACTTATCTTAAAAATGTACAGGTATATAATAAAAGGATAATTATATAGTAGAAGCTTTCTGAGGCCATTTACTTTGCTACTTGCAGCTTGGGAGCATTGATATCCCAGTCGACCTTTGGTTTTGCGAAATATCAATTTTCTAACGCTACTCATAGCAAAATACAAAGCCTCAGAAAGCTACTACAACATAATATTTTGTAAAAACATGCAGTCAGTATAGACCGCCTCCTTGGTCGAGGGGTTAGAGTCGATGACTTCTAATCCAGGTATCTCTCTGGCATGGGTTTGATCCCCAGGAGATGCTTTGGTAGTTTAGCACGGAGGAAGGTAGTCTAGTACTGTTGTAACTCTCCAGGAACGATGGTTAGGTAACTACCGCCTATATGACTGAAATACTGTTGGGAAAAGGCGTAAAATGAAACAAACAAACAAACAAAATCACTTTTAGTACAGCAAGTTACAGGTTAAAAGGTGTGGCATAGAGAGGCATATATAGATTTGACCTTGTCCATCAGACCTTCTGATACCCTGACTGTCCATAACTAGACAAAACAGTGGAATGTGGAGGCATCCATGTCCTGTGGACACATTTATAGTCGGGTCTTCTAAGACACTCTGACACTGTTAAGGTCATATGACAACTTTCAAGTGCAGGTTTAAAAGACACTGGCACTGTTATGATCATATGGTAACTGTCAAGCTGTCAAGCCAGAAAAAGACCACAGGTACCCCTCTGATTATTATTTCAGGCAAGAGTGGGCACCTTAGTATAAATACCAACATTTTGTAATATAGCTGGGTAGATTCTTTATACATGTAGAAAATAATTTTTCCGTGATCTTTTGTAGGACTTCACATGAAAAGCAGGGAGCAAATTCAGACAAAAGATGGATCCCGGGAATCTACGAGCATGGAGTTCGGTGCTGCATTACCAGAATACCGGACAAATTCCTCGGAGATGTGTTACAGCTCAAAGAGGGTAGATCTGGGACTGAGACATGAGCCATATAAGAAAAATAGGGGCCGAGGAAATCGATCAAATTTTAGAGTGACGCCTCGCATGTCGCCAGGTTTACATGATAATGATTCGTCAAACAACATTGTAAACAAAATGGAACCTGAATCAAATTTTTACGGTAAACTTGGTGCTAATCTACATGTAGGTTCAATGGACTCGCAACAATCTTTGCCACAAGTGTCTGAAACTGTTGTGACCTCTGAAGCAGAAGATAACCAAGGTCGATCAGCATCATATACGGAGAATTCAAGTATAAATGAACACGTGCCTTCAATAGATACATATTCTGAACAGACTCAGAATGAAACAAGTAATTTAAACATAGGCAGCGATGGTACTGTGAACATTAAACAAGAGTGTAGTACTGATTCTGAGACAGACCTAAAGATCACAGGCATGGAGCTGCCTCAAAGTGGTTTTATACAAGATGAAAGCTTGACGGATGGGATGTCTACCATGTTAGATAACAGCAGGGATATGAGCTATGAAACTAGTGTTGCGATGGGAACAAGTGATCTCCAGTCAAAACATAGTAAGTTATTTGTGTTTTCTATACTCCTGCCAGAAGGAAAGCATTTAGTCACCACATAGGTTTTTTTTACCTTCTATAGCAAGGGTCTTCCCCAAAGAAAAATTCTTTAAAGTCTTGCAGTTTTCCTCAAAAATTGAATTTACATCAAGTTTCTTCCCCTTTTGCAAATATACCGTTAAATTTCACACCAAAATTAAGGGCAGGGCTGCTTTCCTAGCCTGTGTAAAAAAGCCCTGCTGCCTTCTCAATCCATCTCTGTCAGTGCATACTTTATGGTACTTACATGTGTTGGTGGCTACAGGAACAATTAGTTACTGTACTTTTTCTTTGATGTCATTCAATCTGTAAGCAGTTATATGGCTATGTGGCTATAAACAATTGGGAGAACAGCCACCTAAGTAAATTAATATATCCAAATGTTAGTTTGGTGGTCTGTCACACTCTTGTCAGGAGAATAACTATTTCTATTTCTATTTAAACTTCACACAACCATAGAGGTCATAAAAAGATAGTGCAATGTCCAAGAATCATAACTCTATCATGCTTAATTTATTAATTATCTCCCTTAAGTTGAAAATGATTGTTATGAGTATAACTTCTCAGTTCTGATCTAAACTATCAGTGATGTCTCATTTAAATGACATACATTTGTAGAGACTAGAGAGAGGAAGTGCTGTGACAAAGAAACAAAACTCGTCATTGCTTATTATGTTGATTATCTCACTTTATATTATTAAATTATGTTTGTGAAAGATATTGATCAAAACTTCACACAGTAATAGACATCTGGAAAAGAAAGTGCAGTGCCAAAGAATCCTTACTATATTAATATATCACATGTTTTTACATCACCTAGATAATTTTATGCCTAGCTGTTATGTATTTTTATGCCCCCACCATATAATGGCCGGGGCATATAGTGTTACCCTGTTCCGTCCTTTCGTCATTCCTTCCTTACATCCTTCTGTCATTCCGTCATCATCAGTTTCCATTCATTATCTTAGGAAGGGTTGCACACATTCAACTCAAATTTGAAATATGGATATGTCATGAGAAAATACAGGTCAGGGCCTTTTCACTAGTTTTGGGGAAGGCGCCCTAGCCCTTTTTGTGGGGAAAAAATGCTCGGTTTTCATACTTTTGGGGAAAAAATCTTATTTTCCACTGGCAGTTTAACCATTATTACTATAAATAAAGACTTATTTAAATCATACATTTGGAGGAAATATCGTAATATATTTGCAAATACTTATTTTAGGAGCTTTCTGTCCAACATAAGTTAAAGGGATTTTTTTACAGATCAATTTATTGCCACTTTTTATTTGCCCAATAATACATCGACTCATATTTCTTAATTATAGAAAATTTACGTAGGAACATGCGAGGGTTCTTGATTTGATTCAGAGGGAACATATTATTATCAGTTCCCACTGTATCACTGTTACTTGCACTGTTGTGCTAGACTCGCTATTTACCACACTTGGGCATGTTGTGCTACTAGGACACACAAACTTGCTAGTGGATACATCTAATCTCTTGCATTTACAGGAAGGTCAACAATTTGTCCAATTTTTCATAAACAATTACAAATGTCACTCAATCGTATTTTCTTCTTGTTTTGTGACATTGTTTACATTTGCGACATCGTAAATCGGTCGCCGTATTGTCGTAAAAAAATCACATGTGCACTAAAAAAATAACTTTCAGCGGGGTTTTCCCATGTTCAATTATATTGAATCGAGGTACCCCTCTAGTGGGTAATTGAATAATTAGCTTTCATTGGACAAAAACAATGATCTATTTTTAAACAAGAAAGTTTGCTTACAAGTTTTTTTCTTCGATTAAACATTTCTCTGAAAGGGAAAATCTCCACAAGAAGGGGAATTTTAGACTGTTTTTTGGGGAAAAAAGGTAGTAAGTTGGCTTGGGGAAGTAGCCGAATACCGGCTACAGCAAAGAAGGGTAAAATGGCCCTGCAGGTCAATTTCAAATTTGGTCTTGGTTCAATGATTTTTGGCAGAGTTATGCCCCTTTTACTTTGAAAATAATATGAAATTTTCAGTTTCCGTTCATTATCTCCCAAAAGGTATTACACATTCAACTCAAATTTGACATATGGATATGTCATGAAAAAATACAGGTCAAGTTCAAATTTGGCCATGGTTCCATGATTCTTGGCAGAGTTATGCCCCTTTTACTTTGAAAATAATATAAAATTTTCAGTTTCCGTTGATTATCTCCCCAACAGTATTACACATTCAACTCAAATTTGACATGTGATACTTCAAAGGAATGCACAGGTCAAGATCAAATTTGGTCATGGTTCAATGATTTTTGGCAGAGTTATGCCCCTTTAACTTTGAAAATAATATGAAATTTTCAGTTTCCATTCATTATCTCCCCAACAGTTGTACATATTCAACTCAAATAAAAGATATAGATATCTCAGAAGAATGCATCGGTCAATTTCCAATTTGGTCATGGTTTGATGATAGCTGACAGAGTTATCCCTCTTGAACTTTGAAAAAAAATCAGAAATTTTAAGTTTCAGTTCATTATCTTCCCAATGGTTGTACACATTCAACTCAAATTTGACATATAGATACATCTTAGGAATAAGCAGTTCAAGTTTGAATTTGGTCGTGGTTCAATGATTTTGCACAAAGTTACATGTATCTCCCTTGAATGTTGGAAAAATTTTGAATTTTCAGTTTCATCACTCATACTTTTGTGGATATGTATGTAGACATTAATTTGGCTAGAAATATGCAATATGCAATTTACAAAAAGTTAACACTGAAAAGTTTCAGTGTCTGGAAAAAAATAATTTGTGCAAACAAATTTGGAACTAAATATTATAACATCTGAAGTTTTGGCTGCATGCAGGGGCATCCGTGGCATGACGACACATTTCTAGTTTTGTTCTGCAATATTTCTGGGTGGAGCTTACATGTATGCAGCATTCTCCTTCTATCAATCTTTCACATGTTGCATCACTCTTGCATATCATTTCTCATAGCACTTTCATTTATTGCTTGATTTATCAAATATTTAGTTTGTGTTGAAACCTATCATGAACCTATATCTTTAGGAAGCCAACCATCAGTGGATTTTAAAGAGGCCTTCAGTTTTTTGTGTCGCCTTGAAAAAGGGTACATGTAGGGGTTACTTGGTGGCGGTGTCGGCGCTGTTGTCGGTGTCCGGGCCCTTAAGCTTGTCCGGATCATAAGTCAGTCATTTAAAGTCGGATTGACTTCAGACTTGGTATGCATGCTTCTTATAATGACCAAAAGTGCAGTGCACAAGAACCAGTACTCTGCACTTCTTGATTTTTGAGTTATTGCCTTTTGTTAATTTTCATACTTTATTTTTGTCCGAGCTATTTCTCCTAAAGTATAAAAGCTATAGACTTGAAACTTCATAGGATGTTAGATCTCATTAAGAAGAAGTGCAGTGCTCAAGAACTGGTACTCTGCATTCTTTATTTTTTGAGTTATTGCCCTTTGTTTATTTTCATACTTTATTTTTGTCCAGGCCATTTCTCATAAATTGTAAAAGCTATAGACTTGAAACTTCATAGGATGATAGATCTTATTGAAAAGAAGTGCAGTGCACAGAAACTGAGCACTGCTTTGAGCTATTGCCCTTTGTTAATTTTCATATTTCATTTTTGTCCTGGCCATTTCTCCAAAACTTTATTGTTCACAAGGCGACACATCCGACTCACAGAGTTCTAGTTGTAAAGGTTAAATATGTTATTTTAAATTTAGAATAAATCATTTCATATAATTGTCAAATAAAAAAAATTAAGGGGAAAATGAAATTTGCCGTTGATGAGTTAGATAAACAAATATAAGGAACTTACCGATCAAGACCTCTAGTCTAACGGATCGCTCTCTATAATTATGTAACATAGAAAAGCACCTATAAATAGCTCTTTTGGCACTGTTTTGAAGTAGGCCTAACAGTGATATGATGCACTTTTCTAAAATAAATTTACTGAAATACTAAGTTTGAAACAACATAGAATTGTTTTTCCAACAAAAATTAAAAGGCAATTTTGAAAGAATTGTTTTTTCCAACAAAAATTAAAAGGCAATTTGAAAGAATTGTTTTTCCAACAAAAATTAAAAGGCAATTTGAAAGAATTGTTTTTCCAACAAAAATTAAAAGGCAATTTGAAAAGAATTGTTTTTCCAACAAAAATTAAAAGGCAATTTGAAAGAATTGTTTTTCCAACAAAAATTAAAAGGCAATTTGAAAGAATTGTTTTTCCAACAAAAATTAAAAGGCAATTTGAAAGAATTGTTTTTCCAACAAAAATTAAAAGGCAATTTGAAAGAATTGTTTTTTCCAACAAAAATTAAAAGGCAATTTGAAAGAATTGTTTTTCCAACAAAAATTAAAAGGCAATTTGAAAGAATTGTTTTTCCAACAAAAATTAAAAGGCAATTTGAAAGAATTGTTTTTTCCAACAAAAATTAAAAGGCAATTTGAAAGAATTGTTTTTCCAACAAAAATTAAAAGGCAATTTGAAAGAATTGTTTTTCCAACAAAAATTAAAAGGCAATTTGAATTAAAAGGCAATAGAAGCTGAAGGCTGCTTTAAGCTGACTTAGCCATAAAGAAAATGGGAAGCAGTCATTGGTCTTGCGTTCATGTTGCATGCTTTTTCTTGTTTTTGCATACTAATATTGTTTTTTTTTTGTTTGTTGTTATATTGTTTGTTTAGTTCTCTTATACTAGTAATTAAAGTATTACTGTATTGTATGTAGCTTAATTGTTTCAAAAGTCATTTTGTTACACAAAAAAAAAAAATTCAAAAAAATACAAATTTATTTTAGTTTGATTGTGTTGAAAACTATAAGCTTATTGAAATGCTCTCATATACTTTCCTGAAACCAACCAGTACTACGCAATGCATGCTTAAATGTAAAGTTTCTTGGTCAAGGAGACAATTAAAAGCCTGCCTCTGACGAGGTTTGAACCCACACTGCCAA